TGATTTTGCAATTCACATATATATATAAATTACGTGCCTATATATATATATATATATATAGATACGTAAACGAAGTATTCATAGAACTAGTACATTTTGAAGGAAAATAGTACATTTTTTGAAGGCGCTTCAGTACGTTTTGAAATTTCATTGTGGCAACATTGACTCCAGGCACTGACAGATATTACTCTGTATCACAACAGAATACTGGACACTGTACAGTTTTTTAGTTTTTGGGATAAAACATGTTAGATGTTTCAGTGTCGTATGCCTACAGTAGCCAACAGATTGGAATATCATTTGACATAAAAAAATCTAAATTTTTTCAAACGGGTATCGTGATACAGACAAAAATTTATCTTGTGTTTGGGAATTTCCAGTCTCCAGTGCAGGGCCGGGATGAAGAGGCCCTGACATATAATGTCAAAAATTTATCAGTTTTATATTTTTATTTTCAAATTTTAATGTTTTCCTCTGTGGAGCTGATTCCGTAACGTTTCAGCTAAAGTTTAAAAATAACCGATCCTTTCTATCGTATTTATTTTTTTATACTGTATATTTTTTTCCAAAATGGTACCAAAACTAAAATCTTGCACAGGACACACGAAAAGCTACTTACGGCATTGCCATTCTCTTCTACATATTATATCGGTGCAATTTCTTCTATTGAAAATATCTTTTCTTAATATTCATTTAAAATTATAGCGAAGTTGTGGCCGAAGTTTTCAACACGAAAACGTGAACGTCGGACTTTCAGCGCTGCCATTCTGTAAGCCTAAAAGTTTGACAATGGCGTTTGGAACGTCGAGTATGATTCTACTGACGTTCCAAACGCCATAGTTAATTTTGTAAATAGACAAATAAAAATGAAATTTATCTTGTCGGATGAAAAGAGAATTAGCTACAGATTTCTCCATTAATAAATAGGATAGAATGCCGAAAAATATAATACTCCTGCAATAAATAATTTTTGGAATGAATTTTATATGATAACGAATGCAGAGACAATTTTAATCAGGATATTGTATTGAAAGAATAATATTAGCTTAGTTTCAGTTTCATGTAATTAAGTGGATAAAATCTGATTATAATTAGAATCTAAACTGCGTTTTTCAGAGTTTGTCTTATTACTTCCTGAAATAATCTTAAAATTTAAATTATGTAAAGTAGACCTAATATAAATTATTCTTTTAATCTCAATAATATAAAGTATTTTATCTTATAAATCAATACAAATTATTTGATCAAACGATTTAAATGATTTATTTATGACTACTCTCTCAGGTCTATTATTATATTTGCTCATTTCACATTCTATTGTTACATTTCAAAGTGACGCTGGTGACAAAGTACAGAAGAATTTTAGAAGAAATTGAATTTAGTACAAAACTGTTTAAGCGTGAAATTATTTACATAATTTGCAAAATTTGGAAAAGTGAATTTATGATGCGTTATAGATATTCAATAACCATCGGTTCAATGCGAATCAAAAGAGTGGGAAGAAGTAAGTAAAATGAGAAAAAAATCTAGTGTTTCGATTGGAAGAAATCTCTTTCATGCATGATCGAAGAAATTCCTGTAGGAAATGTCTTCTATACACATAAAATTCTTGTGATAAAAACTAATTTTGAATTCTTTTAATTAATTACAAACGACGAAATGTTTCTTGTATGGTTCTGTTTATCGTTATTAAGTAGCATGAGTATATTAAAATAGAAAAAGAATTAATTTTATATTTTTATCATGAAATTATTTGCGTTATCAGTTAGTTATATAATTCATACTGTATTTATGAAGTAATATTATTTTCTATATATATGTGGAAAGAATATATTAAATAATAAATGTTAGTTTCAATTTTTATAGTATTATTCTTTCTTATTTGTTTATAAGTTAGTAATAAAGGTAATTGTATAGTACTTCACAGTTTTTGAGATCAGTACATTTTTGGGATAAATGAGATGATCATATCAGACGTAAAATGCTTTTTGTTATGTTTGTCTTTAAGGGAAAATAACAGAAAGAATGGTTTCCAATAATTTATTTTCTTTCATTATTTCAATATGTACTGTAATGCTCGTTTAAAATTTATAAATATTATAAATATAGTTTTAAACTATCAATGAAAACTATTAGAATTTTCAAATTTTCAACAATAAAAATATACTTTATTATTTTATAAGTAATGAAACTGATTAAATTTTTGAGGCCTTTTATATAAAATCAAAATGTTAACTTCGATTAAATAAACTAGATGTTCCAATACAAAAACTACATTGATCGGAATTTAGATTTTAAATAGTTAATTCAATTACAAAGTTGTTTGGGAAAATACACCATTAAGTATTATTATTATAGGTAGGACAACGATGTCTAGAATGATTAAATGATGCACCAATCTAAACTATTTATAAAAATCATTCGGATTCAGTTTCATTCTGTTCACAATAAGTACTGTACGATAATTTTTATAAAACTTTATTACTCATTTACTAAATATTCCTGAAGAAACATTTTTTTAGTCATAGGATTTTGAGGTTTTTTTTAGCTTTTCGCTTAACACATTCAGGCTCCTATTGGCTTTGGGACCAGGTTCGACTGAACCACGTTGCACCTTTGTAGTTTCACCATTTTATTTGAAAATGTAATTTGGAATAGAAATTCTAACAGACAGAATATATGGAATAAGGCAACGTAGAACAATACCCAAGGATTGCCACCCGGAAACCCATGCTATGATAATCTGACTGATACTTACTTGTTACACAGGTGAAGATAATCCGAAAAGCTCCATGCAACAGCTGTTTCGTAAGACGCGAACATGCCACCAACCATTAATGTTCAATGTTTTTATTCATTTCGTCTCTAGAGAGCTTTTGCCAGAAGGACACAAATCCAAACAACCCTAGTAGTCAGGAACAAATTAATACGGTTTTACTGATCATGTTCATCTATTGCTGCATTTTTATAACAAGTAAACTAATTAGTAAGCAATTTTGAATTATTTCACTATACACATTATTAAGAATTGAAGAAACATGTGGATAACTAGTGTACTCTTCATATATCAATTTATTATGAAAAATTATAAGATTCAATTTCAATGAAATATTAAGCTAGATTACTTTTTTTTCTTTTAACCCAGAAATTTTCTATATCAAGCTTACTTGGAACATTCGATCCTTCTACCGAAAGACATCATTCTTAATTTCCGTTACTGTTGAAGTAAGCAAATACTTAATGTAATTGCAAATCATTATTTCATTACATTAACTTGTATATAAACACGAAATTTATTAGTATAGAATAATGTAAATCGGATATTTTTACAAAATCCTGATACAGAAATTGACACGAATCATTATTACAGTGTAATTTAGGCAAATAAATAAACATTACTTAATTAATAAAACTAATTGTACTTTACATTTAAAGTAAAAAGATAAATTTTAAAACTACTTTAAAAAATTATTATATTTTAAATTTCGATTAGCTTTGATAAAATTATTTAATTTTTAACAGTTAGAAACTCTGTCAATAATCGATTAATTCATAATGCATCATTAAACACCTTTGGCTGCTGAGAAACTCTTTGATTATACACTATTTTCAGCCTATATAGACCATCCTCAAGTGACTGAGTTTTGGAANATTGATAGAATTATATATAATCTATAAATTTCCACTGGCTGTCTGGCTGTCTGTCCTTTAATCTCGAGAATGAAGCTATATAGATGAAAGGCGAGAAAGAAATTGAACGGACAGGGAAAGTAGGCCTCGATCAACTGTAAAACAACTGCCGATTTGGGTTGAAAGTCATGTTATTTTCATTCAAAATTTCCCATAAAGGGAGTTAAATGACTGTACTGGAACGACCGTATTGCTAGCGGGAAAGTACAGGATCACTACACAGATGTGCAATACACTACTAATTTGAGATGGAGAATATATTTTAAATTAAATACATTAAAAATACAATAAAAAATTGCAGCCCGACAATATCATTATAAATAATTGCTCGTTTTATCCTTACAATAATTTTTTAAAAGGCTGCAATTTTCTTGTCAGTTTTTAGTGTTTAAACAACTCGAATAGTATTATTTAATTGTTATCAATATTATTTATGATATTAAATAGTTTATAATAACAATTTATTTTTAATTAGTCGTTTAATTAAAAGCAATTAAAACAAGAAGTTATTTCCGTTCGAACATTTTTTGGAAATTGGATTTTATTATTTTTTTATTTTGATTTTGATATGCAGAAAAAGAATTTTTATACGTGATAATGTTAAATATGTAATGCTCTATATGAACTATTCTACTATATAGAATATTTCATATTTCTGATACGTAAAAAAGAAATTGATCCATTGATCATAAAAGTCTTCCAGATTGATATATTAGTTTTCCTAAAGGGGAAATAAGTATACAGTCTGAATATAAGGATAGCAGTGAAAAACGAGTTGTCTAATCGTATGGAATACAGATAACGAAAACATAACAAGCAGATACTCGAACTAATCAATGACAATCGACAGCTGGCTGACTGAAACGAATAAGGCAAGTTCCAGCCGTTCTGAAGGGTTAAGTTTGGGACAAATTCTCAGAAAATTTCATGTTATTTGGCCTCGTCCCTCACATCCTAACCGTACAGTTATTGACATGACCAAACTCGTGATGGGAATAAAAGTAAAGCAACGTTAGTATTCATAAGATGAAAAAAGTTTAAAAATCAACTGAACTCAATCAATGACAAAGGAATAGATCGGACATCATCATCTTCAGCATGGCAGTAGCATAAAAACTCTTTTTAATATTTATAATGAGTTTTAAATAATATTTATCATGAACATTATAAGTATTTTATATGGTTAATTAATAGTATGAGTACAGCGTATAGAGGTTTATCATAAAAATCTGAAAAAATTTCAAAATTGTTTAAAAATCATTACGTGATTTAAAGTAAGATATTATTGGTACAGATAGGTTATTTAACGTTCACATGATATGAACAGGATCACAATCAGCTGCAATGTGAAGTTTAGGTTTAACCACTCCCATTAACTGTCCGAAACTATTAATAGTTAGATGTGAATAACGAAGTTTGATCTCGATCCTGTCCTCCAACTACTTCGTGGATTCAGCTTCCCAACCATTTTCGTACAACAATGGTGGTCTAGCCACGTTGTGTTTTCCGGATTTTCTTCACGCTAATAACATATAAATAGGGCTAGTTTCCAATAAAATACCCTCTGGGAGGCATTCCTTCCTTCCTTTCTCGACAGATCGCCCATGTGTCACGTTGTCGTAAACGATTAAAACCAATAAACCAAACCATTTTCGTAAACTTTTTGGTTCTATTGGTACCAGAATCCCTCAATCAGTCTTAGTTGGAAAAACTGAAATGTTAGCTTCACGAGAGATGTATCGAATTCTGTAATAGTCTAAGTAAGTTGACAACTGTGTCATGTGAATAATGGAAAGTGGTCATTGGGCAAAAAACGTAATTTTAGCCAATGTAGTATTTCTTTAGAAAAGGTACTACCTCTTCTGAATGCATTCGTTGCCATACACGTCTTTGGTGTGATAGCTGTGTTGGAACAATGAAGTCCCGTGAGTGTCCCTTTGGAATGATTGCCAACCAAACCAGAAGCTTCTGCGAAAACTAGTTATACTAATAGAATTTAACTTCGGAATACAGATTTAGCTTGTCTTTGATAAAATAGTGATTGTTATCAGCACATTCACTTCTGTCAAAAGCGAAATAGGACTGGTCATCCATAGCCACATCGAGATTGTTTGATGCCTTCGAAACTCCACCACCCAGCTTACAAAGATGGGTATTTGAGTAAAAAATTGCTTTGAGGTATAGTTTGAAGCTGACTTTCGCTTGTTGAGAGTCATTTGATGATCCTTCAGAACCCGCGAGCATGTCTGTATGAAATTTTGAACTTTCGTCCCAATTTCATAAGCGTGTGTCCAACTTTTCCCAAGGGTTCTTCCTCCAATTGGTTCCCCTCTACTCAGTCATTTTAGTCATTTTCCTCTTCTTTTGACCACTTCCCGTTCTTCTTTATGCAGATTCTCTTTGTTCTACCCTTCATAAGATGCTATACATTCTACGATATGGAACTCGCATTAAAGAGAAATGTTTAACTATACAAAATTTCCTATTTTCACAATTTTTCATAAAAAATATACCAGTTACTTTTCTTCGAGTAAATTAATTTAACCCTTTCATTTTAAGTTAAAACGTTATTTAGATAAACTTTTTCATTAAACGGAATCAAGAATGTTCTACAAAGAATGTATGCTGTCGGCTGCTCATGCACAATTATTCGCGATTACTGCAAATCTGGAATTTGTGTATATTTTTAGGACATAGGTCTATAATCAGAAATACACTTAATGTAACACATTAATTTTAAATAATTTAGCCATCACAATTCCTTACAAGAGTTTGTCAGATTATTTTAGAAATGATAATAATATTAATAAAGTTTAAACAATTTTATATTAAGAAAAAACATATAAATGTATTTATCAACTACTTTTAATTTTCATAATCAATAAACATGTGTTTAAAAATTAGAATTATATAAAATTAATACTGATTAAAATATAGAATAAAAAAACTATATAATTAAATTGATAGAATTATATATAATCTATAAATTTCCACTGGCTGTCTGGCTGTCTGTCCTTTAATCTCGAGAATGAAGCTATATAGATGAAAGGCGAGAAAGAAATTGAACGGACAGGGAAAGTAGGCCTCGATCAACTGTAAAACAACTGCCGATTTGGGTTGAAAGTCATGTTATTTTCATTCAAAATTTCCCATAAAGGGAGTTAAATGACTGTACTGGAACGACCGTATTGCTAGCGGGAAAGTACAGGATCACTACACAGATGTGCAATACACTACTAATTTGAGATGGAGAATATATTTTAAATTAAATACATTAAAAATACAATAAAAAATTGCAGCCCGACAATATCATTATAAATAATTGCTCGTTTTATCCTTACAATAATTTTTTAAAAGGCTGCAATTTTCTTGTCAGTTTTTAGTGTTTAAACAACTCGAATAGTATTATTTAATTGTTATCAATATTATTTATGATATTAAATAGTTTATAATAACAATTTATTTTTAATTAGTCGTTTAATTAAAAGCAATAGTGTAGTGATATTAATCAGTTTATTCTTTGTTGCTACGAGGATTGAAACTTTAGAATTTTTATTACAATATAATATTATTTATTGTAATAATTTAAAATTTAATAAAGTATAAACAAAAATATTTATTTTTCTAAAATTATTATAGTAATGAAAAAATAAGTTACTTTATAAAAGTGAAATTTTAAAACTGTGCAGAAGAAGATATTTGTAAGGTTATTCAAAAGGTCACTCAATACAATAGTTTTCTAGTATATCAATACAAAAGTCACGTTACTGTACTACAAATATAATTTATGATTTTGTCATTCGAATAACTTTGCATCTGATGTTTTTTTATAAAGAAATGTGCAAGGATATATTTAGAAATATTTATATAAGGACAGTGATAAGCAGCGCAGTGTTAAAAATTTTCGAATTGGGACATAAATGATGAAAATTCTTTAAAAAACTGTCACTTCCTCTACGATCTCATTCTAAAAATTTTCCTAGGTCAAACAATATTTGATTTATCTTGATATATTCTCATAATCCTTCTTGAAAGAGCACGAAAAATATGTCAAGATAAACCACTTTTGATATAACCCAGTAAATCTTAAACATTGTCTGGATTGGATCGAATTAAATGATTACGAAATATGACTTT